AATTCTGTGTGACCTTATAAATTCAGCAAGATCTAAACATAGCTGATATTTATGAAAGGGTTTCTTGGAGCATTCTTAGCCAAATTAAGCATTTAAAAAATATAAGCCTTCATCTTAGATTAGAATTATTATAAATAAATTTTGTTCAGGGCCCTTTTGTTTCAATGACCAGTGATTTTCATGTATAGTTTTTTTTCTGGAGTCTTTAATCCACTATACTTTTATTCATTATTATGAAGTTGAGTATATTTTTAATTTTTTTCCCCTTTAAATGTGGATCTATTCAGAGCTTTGAGCACTTGGAATGCAGAAGTGTTACAAATGAAAACTGTTGCTCTTCTCTAATAATACACTCTGCCTGTTGCAAGTATTTGAGTAGGAATTCCTTAACTAGTTTGGGCAGCTACCTCATACATGAATATATTCATGGTATATTTACCTCATGAATATATTGACTTAAGAATTTGAGAAGAATTTATGTGCTACATATTTTAAAAAACAATTGATAAGACCTTAAAATGGAAATCTTAGTAATATAACTGTCGGATATGAGATGGCTGTGTAGTTTCTCCGAGTTATCATGTCGTAGGATATGGTTCAGGTCACAAGTATTGTGGTGGGAATGTAACTTTTGAATTTAGGATTATTCCAGAGGTTGAGCATTCCATCAAAAGTGTAAGCTCAACCTCTGTGCTCAGAAGTCTCTCTCATGTCAACCAGTAGGCTTTATTAAGTGAATTACCTTCCTTATGCCATTGTAATCACTGTTTGAATGGAGTTCATTACCTGCACTTTATCATATCAGTCCCTCATGTTATGCTGTGGGGAGAGATTCCTATTTTAAATCTTTCTTTAGAATAAGTTGTGTTTTTATATGGAATGCTAACACCATAGAGTTTTGTTTTCCCAGCACTCTGGAAACTCTGCTATAAAAATTTTTAGTTCCTAAGTCAAAAATAATTTTTTTTTCTAACCATAGTCACTTTCTTGGGATAGTTCATGTGGATACATAACAGAAGCCTTTATTGTTTCTTTAGGAATCAAAATATAATGTACAGAACTTTCTTCTGAAATGATATTTTGTTTTGATATTTTGTACAAAATATAATGTACAGAACTTTCTTCTGAAATGATATTTTGTTTGCATCATTCTTTCTTTAAAACATCTAATTTTTTTTTTTACTATAAAAGTAAAACATGCTCATTTTGAAAAAACTTTTTAAAAAAATAACAAAAGTATAACTAAAGGAAGCCACTGCTCAGTCTTCATGCTTCATCTTGTCAGATAGTTCTCATAGTGGTTGTGCCAGTGTAAACCTGCACCAGCCACATAGGGAAGTCTTTGTCTCTCTCTCGATTTTCCCAGCATGGTTATTAAAACAGGCACTGCACCTTTGTTAGGGAAAAATACAATTTAGTTTGAATCAACTTTATTTAAGTCTTATCTGTGACTCATTAATGTTAATAAGAACGTAAACCTGAAACGTTAATAAAGCAAACTTTGTTAGGAAATTTGACAGAGAGAGGAAACATTGTTTTTTATTTTTTTCTTATTTTTAATTTTTATTATTTTTTTAATTTTTAATTTCGTTTATTGGGGTAACATTGGTTAATACAATTATATAATTTTCAGGTATACATTATCATTTGACATCAGTATATTCTATTGTGTGTTTACCACCCAAAGTTCAGTTTCCTTCAGCTACTATGTATTTGATCCCTTTACCCACTTCGCCCTCTCCCTAAACCCTATATTTGACCCCCTTTACCCTGTCTACCACCCCCTCCTCCCCCACCCCACTAGTAACCACTAGTTTATAGTCCTCTGGTAACCACTAGTCTATAGTCCATGTCCATGAGTCTCTGAAACATTGTTTTTTAAATGTATAGAGTTACTGTCTAATCTTTCAAGGATAGAAATCCAAAAGAAACAGATTAATTCAATCATTCAGTAAGTATTTCTGACCTTCCATGTGCCACACATTTACAGGGTATAGCAAAAACAAGAGTCTGCCTTTATACATTCCAGATATAGTGTGGTAAGTGACTTTATGTGCTATAGAAAACAATAAGGAAGAATATGATTGGGGCTATACAGGGAGGGGATTACATTTTTAAGGATGTCAGGGAAGGCCTCAGAGAGATAGTGACTATTACAGAAAGATCAAATGATGGTGAGGGAGTGTGCCCAAGGGAATATCTTGGGGAATAGTTATCTAGGAAGAGAAAAAGGCAAGTACAAAGCCCCGAGGCAGGAACAAGCCTATTCTGTCTGAGGAACAACAGCAAAGAAAGGCCGTGTGGCTGGAACATGGCGAGCTCAGAAGCATGTAATTGGAGATGAGGCCAGAGAGGTAATAAGGTTCAGATTGTGCAGGGGCTATTCAGTCATTGTAAGAGCTTTGGCTATTTTTCAGAGAGAGAGAGGAGATCATTGGCAGTTCCATCAGAGGCCACGATAAAACTTGTATCCTGGCTTTGTTTTTTCAGAAGCTTTGATTTTTTATAATAATTCAGGTATTAACTAGTGGCTCCTGGTGAGTAGTCATACATAGATTTAAATGTTTATGTCAGTACTGCAAAATTTCCCAAAATACAAATCTTAGGTATTGCATATAAATTCAAAAAAGGAAGTACAGTAGGAATGCCTGTCTATAGTTATTTATTCATGAGTGGCCCTGCTCTGTTACCTAGTTTTCATCCTGAATTGTCTTGGGGGAAAAAAAAAATCAAGGGTGTATTCTGTATAAGACATTGTATTTTACCCTTAGACATTGGAGAAAATAAATATATATTATTTATAGTAAATATTAAATAAGTATATTTAACAATAAGTAAATATGTAAATAAAATATTTATACACACACTTGACCCTTGAACAATGCCAGGTTTAGGGGTGCTGATCCCCTCTGCAGTCAAAAATCTGCATATAACTTTTGACTCCCTGAAACTTAATAGCCTTCTGTTGACTCGCAGCTTTACTGATAACATAAACAGTTGATTAACACATATTTTGTTGTGTTATATGTATTATGTACTGTATTCTTACAATAAGGTAAGCTAGAGAAGAGAAACTTATTAAGAAAATCATAAGAGAAAATATAGTATTTATTTTAAAAAATCTGCACATAAATGGACCCATGCAGTTTAAACCCATGTGTTCAAGGGTCAACTGTATGCGTACACTCTATTGGATTATTTTAATATATGTTTTGAACATTTTCACTATGAAATATAGCAAAAATATATAAAACATAACTGTAAATATTAGTTATAAAAAGCAAGTACCTATATAACCACCAGTAAGACCTAGAAATATATCATGGCTAACATCCAGAAGAAGCTGACTAGTCTGACATCTGATAATCATTTCCTTACTTCGTGAATTTACTACCTAGGATTCATTGCAAACCAAAAGTTTGATTTTGTCTGTTTTTGAACTTTATAAAAATGAAATAATACTGTATATATTCTTTTGCGTCTTCTTTCAGAACCTAACAGTATGTTTGTAACTTTCATCTATGTCATTGTGTAGAACTGCAGTTTAATTTCATTGCCACGTAGCATCTCATTATATGAATATACCACAATTTATGTAGCCATTCTATTGATGATGTTTTCAGCTATTATAAACAGTGCTTCTATGAACATTACGTGTGCTGATGGTAATGTACAGGAGTTTCTCTGGGCCACATTTGGGAGTGGAATGGCTGGATCTTTAGTTTTATTATTCGTCCTCCTACCAACAGTGTGAGAGTATCCCTGTTCCTTCCAGTCCTTACCAGTATTGTCAGACTCTTTAAATTTTGCTAATCTTTGGGCCTAATAATGTTCATTCTAACAAATTAACTGAGAAACCAAAACCTTAAAAAATTAGAGAGTAAAAGACTAAAGGTATTGGTTTCTGCTTTAAGAGTCACATATATTCAGAGCATTTTCATTTGTTAGAATTTGTTGATATCTTCTGCCTAAGGAGTAGTTACTTAGTCTTAAAAGCCCTCAGAGGGTTCAGGAAGCATGCATATGTGTGTGTGCGTGTGCGTGTGTGTGCGTGTGTGTGCGTGTGTGTGTGTGTGTGTGTGTGTGTTTAACCACTGTGTCTCAAACAATGCCTTGCACAGTTGATATTCAGTAAATATTTGTTAAATGAATTTAACCTGACTCTTGCTACTCTTAAGTCTTCTGATCAAGACTGTCCTTTTTTAACATCATATTTTAGGACAGGTTTTGGTGAGGGCTCATTTTATTATTGATAGTTACCAGACTTTATTTCTCCAAATGAGAGCAGCTTATTTGTACCAGTGTACCAGTTAAAGATGGTGTTTACATTTCCAGGAAAAGGTTCTATTTTTAAAGAATTAATCCATGATATATGCAGTGCTTCATTTTCCCACAAATGAGAAGATAGCACCAGAATCTTCTGCCTATGTTAGGGTCCCAGAAGCCTTGTAACCATTCTTATCTCTGTTTCTGTTTTGAGTCACTTTTTAGGACATGGTAGATTATTAGGGTGGTAGTGGTGATTAGCCAAGATATCTCACCAGTCTTCAAGAGGAATCTCAGTGTGGCAGCTATTTACTTAAACTGTAGGAAACGTAGCTTTGTTTAAATGCATTTTGCTTTGGTGTAATTGGCCCACAGAGCACTTTTTTAAAAGAGTATTTTACACAAAACCTTCATAGTAGTTCTTCCAACATTTTGTGAGGTAGCTGGCAAAAGTGATCACTCCCTTTTATTGACTTGGGGCAGGCCACTGCATTTTGGTTAAGCCAATTCATTAGGGGAATTAGCTTGGATTTTTCTGACTTTAATTTCTAAGTATTATATTTTTGAAAAATGACTAATAGAGCACTCAAGACTAGAAATATAAGAATCATAATTTTGACTTATAAATTTTAGCAAAAGTATTACCTGCTTTTGTAAAATTTCCTCTTTACAGAATAGGCAAAGTAAGAACTTGTATCTAGTTAAGTCTGATTCATCATCTCTATTTCCAACAGAGATTTCCTGTTAGACAAGACAAATTAGAGCTTTCCTACTGACTTAACTTGGTGAGTTTTTACATGATTTTTGTTTTAAACATAGTTTAAGATGATGAGGAAAAAGTGGAATGAAATGCATAGAAATATTTACCATGACTTTAAAAAATACACATCTTGAGTGCAATCTACTGTTTCATTTCAGTGCAAATGGTATGTAAAATTGGAAGTCATATAAGGTAAGCATGTAAGGTGTTTTTTTATTTTAAATAATGAACATTACAAACAGTGTGAAAAAAACATTTTTCATAAGTGCCTTCTAAAGTTTTATTCTGAATATTCTTTCCTGGAGTAAACCAGAGTTATTCAGATCTTCTCTGGTGACTACTGTATATAGGATTAGAGTTTACACTGATGTTGAAGGGGAGAAAAGGTATTTGGATTTAATTTTTAATCAACAGTTGATAATACATGATTTTGAGACCTTAGAGTAAGATTATTTTTCTCCCTAGGAAAGATCTTTTTAGAGAATTACAGTTTATAAAATGAGATACCTAAAGCAGTTTGTGGGCTTCATTTTGCTCTGTAAAAGGATTTTGATTTTGAGCAGATTGCCTTTGTATATGTACCTTAGAGCCCATCTCTCTAGGGGTAACTTAAAAAAAATCTTCCTACCATTCTGGCTAGCATCTTAAAACTTTTACTTTGTGGTAAAAGATTATTGCCTCTAATGCTTATGAATGTTTTTACAGTGTTTTATTGAGTAAAATAGATGTTATTGCATTTTAATCTTTTAAATTATGACAAATCATCAGAAGCCAGGAAATTCTGTTAAGACAGACATTCTGCCTAACTTTCCCCTGTTTTGTCTGCTTATGTGGTTTTACTTTTTCCTTGTGTCATGAATTTTGGAATGAACATTTAAAGCTGAGAACTTCCTGGCCATTCTTTGTTCCGTTTAATTTAGTTAGAACCTTAACATGAACATAGAAATTGGCTTATTTTTAATAACTTTAGAAAAAAAGAATTTATTTTCTGCAAATATTTGCTAGGCAAGGAGCATGGGTCCATGTAAACAGTCATAGATTTCTTCAGTTAAGACTTCTAGTGAAAGAAGATTAAAGCATATGTGTACCTTGATTTCTCATAGTTAGAGGGAGGTCTAAGTGTCTCTCATAAAGAAAAGTGTCTTCAGAAAATACTGAATTCTATACTTAAAAAATTTTTTTTTAAGCTAGATCGTATTACAGTAATTAATGCTGAAGAGAATGGTGTCCATGTGGTATATCAAGTCCTCTGGAAGAGGCAGGCCTTATCAGCTTCTAAGTTAATGAATTTACTCCAAATTGCTTAACTTAAGACTAATTTAGACTTGATATTCATTCCTTGGGCCCTTTCTGGAGCCAAATGGTGTTAGCAAGAAGTATTTTTAAATGCTTTGACTAAAGTATAGATGGCCAAAGAGAACTGCATGTTGAATTTGGCTTCTGTAAAGGCCAGAGGACCCTGTGGGGTTATGCAACCTCTCCCTATTTGTTTCATGAAATGATTCTTCTGTTTTTTAATTCCTTGCAGATTGGACACGCTTAAATTATATTAGACCCAAGCCTTTCATCTGTTTACTATTTGGATTTTATAAGGTTCTTCATAGCTGTAGTGTAAGGGAGAGGATAAAAAACTGTAACCTCTCAAATCTCAAAACACCTTTGGGGATATAATTATAAATAGAATGTTTTTAGCCATAAGGTTTTCTTTCCCTGATCTCCCTTCCCCTCTTCCCTCTCCTCCCCCTCCTTCTCCCTCCTCCCTCCTTCTCCCTCCTTCTCCCTCTCCTCCTCCTTTTTCTTTTTTAAAATTCTGTTCCAGCACTTGTTTTAGAATATAAATTTTTTCCTAGAGGAAAAAATCGTTGATAACACGTGGGATGTGTTAAAATCTTCATCTTTCCAAAGTTTGCTCTTTGTGGCCTTAGAGATTTTCACCCAAGCTATTCAGTGGAATCAACACATTATTATAATTTGTGAAAAGAGAGAAGTTGCTGATTGTTTGGTTCTGCCTATCTAAGTTCGTTTCTAAAGGTGTTTTCTTTGGAACTGAGATCCACTTTGAAGTGAAATAGCCCCTTTATAATCAGGTTTGTTTCCTGATTTGGATTCATGTCGTTCCATTTCAGACATCTCCCAAATGATGTATTTTGAAAGTGATGTCTGGAGAAGCTTAATCTGATGAACCCTATCTGACTATTTTTTTTTTTCCAAGCAGTTGGAGGAGTTTTTCTTTTTCCTAGCAAGAGTTCTGTAATTAACAAGAGCAGCCTATCACCTTGTGAAACCTGTTTTTGCAGTCATGGTTTATTCTGCTATATTCTCCATCCAAGTGGAGACAGGAATTTTTTCCTCTGGTGTTGTTTTGTGCATATACTTAACTCACTAGTGATTGGTGCCTAAATTAAAGGAAACCCAAACTCAGAAAGTCTTTTTAAGGTCTAAGGATATGTACCTTACAAAACTATTGAGTCACACCTGCCCCTTTCCAGGATAGACCTTTACCTTTGGAGCAGAGCATCTACTGCTTTCTTCCTGGATATATTTTTGAAGTGGGGAATTTTGCTATTATGTCTATGTCAGCAACTCTTACATAATGGATAGTTTTCAGTGGAAGGGAATGATTCCCCAGCCCTTAACTTAAATTGGCAATAAATTTTTCTGCTCTTTTTTTGCTACCTGGAAAAATGTATCCAAAGTGAGAGTTATTCCATACTTTAACCTTTGAGTTGGCTGCTAAGGTCTCTTTAGGGACAAGGACACTTTGAAGTTATTTATAACCTGTAGAAAAGGGCAGTAAGGCTGTAAACAGCCAGCACACACTAAAATTGGGAGTCAGGAGCATTTTGTTGGTAATCCCACTGCTTTCTGTGACTTGAGATTCTTTCATGTACCTTCTTGTTCATCTTCATCTTGACTTTGTCTGGATGAGCCTTACTAGCCAAGCTATTCTATAAAACTATCTAATAACACTTAGATTGAAAAGAATGAAAACTAGCCATTTTACATATGAAGGCATATCTAATCCTCACAATCATTTCAGAGTCTATGCGTAAGAGGTATTGGTAAACTAGAAAAACCTTAAAGGTACTGACGTGCATACGTAATACTAGTTTCTGAGTTTTCCTTCTATACTACAGTTATAAGAACAATTCAACTCTTAATTAGATAAATATTTGGCTGTGGCAGAAAACAAATTCTACATCTTAGCCTTGTATAGAAAAAACTTACTTATGTATCTAGACATGTTTTAAAGATATATATGTTTATTCTTAAACATATATGTATACATGTATACATGTGTGTATATTTAATGTGTATATATTTATTTATCTTTTCTCTACACGTCAGTTTTAAAGAAATCAAATCCCACGTCAGAAAATTATAGGTCAAATCTAAGTAAATGCTAAGGATCTGCTTCATTCTATCAATATATTAGAATTTTATTCTATAAAATTTAGATTTGAAATAACTTAGAGATCTAGCCTGAGTTCCTGACAGCTGCTGTAATGGTACTTTCTATAATAAAGATTGACTTATTCTGGAAAATGTGCTTATATTATCATTGTCCTATGGGTTCAGGAACTTTCAGTTTAGCCCTGTAGGCTTCCCTTGTCTTCCAAATTTTCTTAGATATTTATTTTTCTTTTTTTTAATCAAAAAGAGTGTAGTTTGGAATGTATTGAATAAATTCTTTAAAATTGGAGTGAAATGAACTGATAGTTTTCTTTTTTTAATGTTCTATTGTGTTAAAAGTGTCTGGGTTCCTGTAGCTGTTATTCATTCAGCAACTTCCAAACTTTCACATTTTAACTAGAGCTCATTAAGAAAAAATATCCCAAAAGACAGTGAGTCTAGTTATTCAACAACAATTTAATTGAACAAATATTTATTGAGTGCCCTCTATACCATTAGGAACAGGGAGTGCTCTTCTCTTATTGAGCTTAACTTCTAGTAGAGAAGCCAATAGAAAAGTAAAAAAATAAAGATAATTTCAAATGGTGATAATAAAGAAGAAAATAAAATAGAATAATGCAATGAAAGGGATGGGCTAGAAGTTGGGGCTACTTCAGATCGAGTGGTCAGGGAAGACCTCTCTGAGGATATTACATTTGATAGGACATCTAAATGACAAGAAGGAGCCAGCTGTGGAAAGATCTGAAGGAAGAAAGAGCTTTCCAGGTGGAGGAAAGAGCCTGATGTGTTCACCAAATAGAATTAAAGGCCTGAGTGACTGAAGCATGGTGATTGAGAAAGGTAAGTGTTAGATGAGGTTAGCGAGGTGCACTGAGGCCTTGGCGGTTATGACAGGAAGTAGATTTTATTCAGATAGCAATGTCTCATAAGGGTCTGATCTATAAGCCATCTCATAACTTAGAAAAATTAATTGTAAATGCTAATTTTAAATTTTTTAATTTATTACTTGAAAAAATAATATAGTCACATAGTTCAAAATTCAGAAAGTTCAAGGGAATACAATAGGAATTCCTCCCAAGTATTCAGTTTCCTTCCTTGGAAGTAACCAGTATCTCTAGAATCTTGTGTAGCTTTCCAGATAGATAGAGATTTTAAAACAAAAAAATATTTGTGCCTCTTTAAATAGAAAGAGCTCCCTCATTTTTTAATAGACAGTGTAATAATAGACAGTTTAATAAACATTGTCTCTATCGTAATTTATTTAATCAATCCACTGTTGGTTAACTTTTAGGTTATTTCTGTTCCTTTGTGATTACAAATAGTGTTACAATGAGAAACCTTTTATATTTGTCATATTAAGTATATCAGTAGGGTAAATTTCTAGGAGCGAAATTGCTGGAACAAAGGGTATAAGCATTTCTTACGCATTCTGATATACATTTCCCTTCATGGAGATTGTACAATTTATACTCTAATCAGAAATGTTTTTCTTACCATGACAAATATTATTGAACTTTTTGATCTTTGCCAATTCACTGGGTGAAGCAATGTGCAGTTTAATTTGCATTTATTGTATTATGAATGAGAGTTGGAAATATTTTCATACATTGAAGAACCATTGGTATTTACATTTCTATAAACTGTTAGCTGTTCTTTGTCTTTTTTTCTTATAGGCTGTTGACTTTTTCTTCTTGGTCTTTAGATTTACTTAATACTAAATCCCTCTCTTAAAGAATTTAAAAAGGCAAAAATAAATATAATGTTATATGTCAAATTATAGCTGTTTTAAAAAGCAGTCATCTTTAACTTGTAAATTTTATAAAGCATGAACCTGATAAAGTACATAAATGAAACCCAGTCTTTCCTTTGCTGATTGAGGTTTCTCTCTGATTGCTCTTAGTTTCATTTTAAGAAGTACCTCTAAATTTTAAAAATGCCATTTAGTATTTTGTTAGACTAAACTGCAAAAAGTTTACCATAGCAAATATTCAGAAGTCATCTAAACCTTGCAACAGAGGAAGTCAGTATGACCTATAATAATCTGTCCTTGGGGTGATTGGAAAGAAGTTATTACCTCCTGGGCTATATATGATTGAGGACATGTAACAGAAGAAGTACAAACACTCCATTGAGGTCACATCAGTTTCTCAAAAAAGACCCAAGTCTTTCTATAGTTTCTGTCTCCCCCCACACCCCCCTCCCAACTCCCTGCTTAATTATCAATCTTTTTGGCATCTTCTGTTTTGGAAAATGCAAACGTCTCTCAGGTTTAAAATAGTTATGACATCGGGATTTTTTTCCTTACTTGGAAACTGTACAGGGCTTTAAATCAAAAGACAAAAAAGTGATAGGCTTTTAAAAAATCCATAACAAACCATCCTTTAGCAAGAAGCTATGTTTCTAGCCATCTAGTTTGTGCATGTTTCTGTGTTACGTTGAACCACACGAAATTGCTGACATTCTACTGTTCTTGGCCTACAGAACAATTATTTGGTTCAAGCTCATATCACCACAATCTTACTCCTGTAATTTTAAGGCTGATGGCTATGAGGCTAACTCATAGATATCTTGTATGTGATATGCCTCTGTTAGTTGTTGGTTTTTAAAAAAAAAAAAAATTCTCTGGATAACTGAATTAGATCAAAGATGGAGGAATGCTTATAGAGAATAAAAGAAGAGTAAAAAATTACTGCATAAACTGTATATGTAACACTTTTCAGAATATTCTAGCCTAGCTCTGCATAGACTGCAGGTTAAACTATTGTGACATTTCCCCATATTGTACAGGGATTCATCTTCTATTCTGAAAGAATCCTGATTATGTAAGAGTTTAGTTCATATTAACTGATTTGTGTTTTCAAAATGAAAAATTATAACCAGTCTTTCTCTGCATGTAGAATGAATATATATACTTGATACTGGATGAAAAACTCACTTTTACCAGGGCTGATACTTGAGAGTGCCAGGCTTGGAGGTTTTGGCTTTGTGCATAACTCATCCAAAAGAACAAACAGATGATTTTCATTACATTGCAAATCTAATATACTCAGCACTGTTCTAAGGGCTCTTTTAGAGATATGTGAAAGAAACAAACAAGAAAAGTTAATGAACTTGAATGCAACTGGATAAATGTTTCAGTCATCAAAGTGTTTTTGCTGAATGCCTTGTTCCTGCCAGGCTGTGCTAGGTGGTAAAGGGGATACAGAGAATAGTTTCAAGTTCCTTTTAAGGAACTTAAAGTCTACTAGAGGCAACAGAAGTGTTCATAAGTGTAAAAGAAAACAGAAAAGAAGTGCACTGTGTAAGTTCCATTTAAAGCATTATATGTATATCATAATCATTGCTAGGAAGCATTCTGTTATAGATTGTTATTACTTGCTAACTGATATTACCTTCATTGGCATTTGAGCAGTATTAAAATCAACAGATATTTTAAAATATGTTTCTTGGTGTGACCCAGAAGAGGTATAACCCATAGGTCAAGATTTAATAGAGTGAACAGTAAAATAAATGGTGGTATGTAATAGATATGTTCAGCCTCGAGTTGTCATCTTACTTGGAAGTTTGCTAAGCTTTGGAGAATAAATTTCTCATGAGAGAACTTGGACAGACTTGTCTTAACTTGTTTGAAGACAAGAACAATATATTTTGGTACTAGTTATCTCTTGCAAAGGTTCTCAAACCATGACCCTCAAATAAACCTCCTCTTTTCTAAAATTGTTTTTCTGCTGGGTATCTGCAGCAGTTGGCATGAAATGCTAGAGTTCATGTAACACCAGGCTGCTTTGCTGATGAACACTTTGCCCATGGTGCCTACTACAAGTGAAATTAATTAGACTTATGCTATCCTAGTCAATTTCCCTCTCAGCAGGTTGTGTGGTTAGAGCTCCTCAGAGTCTAAGGCTGATTCTCCAGTTCTCCTAGCTGCTGGGTTGGACATTTTCTAAAAATTAGAAGAAAAGTGATATTAAAAAAAAAAAAAAAAAAAACTTGGGTACAAAAAAAAAAAAGCAAAAAAATAAAAAGACTTGGCTACAAAATAAATAACAAGCAAAAAAGAAAAAAAAATAGCCAAGCCCAAAGTAGTACTTTTTCAGGTCATAATAATGAACCATGGTTCAATAGCAGCAATTAAGCCATTAAAATAAACTGATTTTTATATTTGTCTTTTTCTTAGAGAATTCTTAAATTGTTAATTGTTAGATAAATTTGAAGTATTTTTTTAACTTCAAAATAAATTCTGTGATCGCTAAGTGTAGAACTGAGCCTGCACCCCACACCTTCAGAGCCAAATTTTATGCTCTTACTAATGTGTAAAATTCACATCTTCTTTGCCAACCTGCCCAAAAGATAGTTTTAAGTAGGAATTTCAAAATTTCATTCTGGCCCTTCCTGGCATTATTATGGTAACTGGGGTTTGTAAAACTGCCTAAGGTGCATTTACTCATTCCTAGACAAACGAACATTTCTGCGAGAATGTGTTTTCCATCAAATGCCAAGCCTACCTTGATCATCAGGTGATCAGGTGTAGCATTTGGTATTTTTTCTTGATGTTATCATGGAATCATGAATTGGATGAACCAGGGAGGCTCAAATGCCACAGTGCTTAGTTTGCTAGCTTAAATAAAATAGCATATCATGTGTTAACTTTATCTGTGATTACATGGGATGCTTTAGTTGTAAATACCTGTAGAATAGTGTTTAAAACCAATGGGAACTCTGGTAATATCAATGGTATTACTCTGTGAGGGTACAACTATATTTTATTAATCCCCCTCCCTGATTATTACTAAGGTGGTCAGTGCATGTATGTGAGTTGAGTGATTATTTCATATTCATTTGTACCTCTTTTTACAAATGTTTTGAGGCAGTTTCTAAAAATACTTAACATATAAAGGAGTAATCAGTTGAGAGAATTATAGCAAAGGGAATAACAACATTAAGTAAATAATAAAGCTATTATAGAATGAGCATATGAACCTTATATACATTATAGCATATAGGATAAGCGTATGAGCCTGTAGTTTCAAGAGAAACAAATTTGTCTCAGGGCTTCTTAGTAATGAAGCAGAGACAACACATATTGTCTGTCCATAGCTGAAAGTAAACCAAGTATTCAGGAAAGAAATTTTTCCCTTGGATGTTACAGACCAGACAATGTATGATATAATGGAACACATCCTTACATTATTTCTACAATTAATACATATAAAGCAGAATAGTACAAAGAATATTATATACTCAAATAATTATCATCCCTAATTAACACATTTATATTGTCATATCTTCCTCAGATCATTCTTATTTTAAACGAAATATGAGCAATCAGCTTGAAATGTCTTATGTTCTTTTCCCCAGTCTTATTCTTCTCCCTTGCTCTCCCAGCCTGAATCTGATGCATAGCTTGTCAATGTTTTTTTTACTTCTACTACATGCATATATCTGTAAATAATATATAATCTTAAATTTGCATAAATAGTGTACTACACATAACATTCCAAAACTTGCTTTTTTTTCGTTAGCATTGTGTTTGATCTCATCTGCATGGTTCTATAGATCTAGTTTATTAATTTAAAATCCTGAAATATATTTTTTTATGATATGGCAATAACCCAATTTAGTTAGCTTTCTCTTCTAATGAATTTTCAGTTTGTTTCTAGTTTTTCACTGTTATGAACAATGCCACATTGAACACTCTTGACTATGTCTTCTCGTGCCCATGTGCAGTTTCTCTAGGGCAGTGGTTCTCAGAATGTGACCAGCATATCAGGATCACCTGGGAACTTGTTAGAAATGCAAATTATCAGGTCACTGCCAAACTTCCGAATCAGAAACTCTGAGGGTCGGTCCCAGCAATCTGTTTATCAGGGGATTCTGATGTACACTAAAGTAACAGTATTATAGTTAAAAGTGGAATTACTAATATTTTAGTGTACACATATGTTCATTTTCACTAGATATGGCCTAATTCCTATCCAAAATAGACTTTTTACTAAATGAGACTGTAAATTAGAATAATTTACAACAGCAGTATGTGAGAGTTACCGTATCCCCATTCATAGTTTGGTTGATTTTTTTTTCTTGTTGGGGCTGATACATGTAAATGTTTTAAAGCTACTTTATATTCTTTTTTGTGAACAATATTTTTGTAGGGTAATTGGCTTTTTTCTTATTAATTTTGTAGAAACAATTTATATGTCACTTTATATATTAATAAATTATTTGTCATGCATTGCAAGTTTTTCAATTTGTTTTTTGGTTTTGTTTATGGCACTTAAAAATTAAAACCAAATTCACAAACACCTGCCCAAAGCATATAGGAAAAAACAAATAGGTTGTAATATAACCAAATAAAACCAATTTTTTAGAATGGCTGTTGTGTTTACAAAAACCTTGGGGGGTGGGGTAAATTTTGAGTTGGATTTGGTTTGCTGCTGGGACACTCTGGTGAGGTGCATAGCAATTATTTGAAAATGGTCTGAGACTTATGAGAGAGGTCAAAGTTAGACTTGGAAAATATTTGTAGAAGGCAGAAGTTTGACACTGTTGGGATGGGTAAAATTGCCATAAAAAAGAATGTAGATTGAAGAAATGACTGACGATTAAAACATGGGAATAACAACGGAGAAAGATAATTCAACAAAAGAGATTGAGAAATGATGAAAAAATAGGGCAAGAGCAAGGTGAAGAATCTAGAAAATTGGATAATGATGGAGTGTAAGTAGGGAGAGGTCGCTATTGCTGCAGGGAAAGGAACACATCTAAGAAAGGGTTAAACATTGCCCTTCAAAAGAACAGCTAACGGTTGAGGAATAGAAGACCACTCATTAGTTTGCACTGAAGTGCAGAAGATGAGACAGTAGTTAGAGAGGTAACAAGGTCATTTTCCTTCAGGAATGGGGTATTTGTGCCCCAGCTGAAGGAGCCAGTGGCAAAGTTGTGCATGGTGTTCACTATGCTGTCTCTGCTTCAGTCAGTCTTTTCATGGATGTACTTTCTATCTCCTTTGAGTACATTGATTTCTATCCCCTTTGAGGAAGATGGTGACAAATACTGTGCAGAGGATTAAAATGGGGTGGTATAATTGGGACTAGGAGACTAGATTAGATTAGGTGATCTTCTGTGAGGTTAACATTTAAATTTGGGATCAGAATGCTAAGGAGCCATTTGAATGATACAGGTAGAGAATTCCAGGCAAGAGACAAAGTTTCCAGTCTTTGGAAGATCACACAAACAGTAGGATGGTGTACCTTCCATCTAAAATATCCTCTTGCTTCTTGGATTGACTAGGGTGAAGAGAGAACAGAAATCTTTGTCCCCTGACTTTCGAAATCTCGTTTAACCTTCAAACTGGCGATGTCAAGGGTTCCAAGTCCTCCACCTCCGGCAGAAATGTCGAGTGGCCCTGTAGCTGAGAGCTGGTGCTACACACAGGTAAGTTCATGTTTTCCACCCTGTAAATCTTGGATCTTGGGAGGATTTCATGGGTGAAAGGAATAAGATTTCTTTCTACATTGAGTTTCTTTCTACACAGGAAACCCCGTGTAGAAAGAAATCTTATAACTGCCAAACAGAAGATAGATAAGGAACTTTGTCAGTTTTCCATTTCTTGGTTCTCCAAGGGGAATCTCAATGCCCTAGGCCAGTATTTTTCACAGAAGGTTGAAAGGGGGAAGTCTTTGAAACTAGATCTTTTTACATCCTCCTTGATTAAAATGTGTTCCTCTGGTGAGCAACTCAAGGGGAAACTAACTAGGTTTGAGATTTGCGACCCCAGGTATTGGCGTCAACATCTCAGTTGTTAAACACAGCTTTGAGCAGAGGTTCATTTTAGGTATGACTTTATCATCTGCTTTCCCAACTCCGTCAATGTTTCTCTCACTTTCCATTCAGTGTTTCTCAGAGGCTGAAAAAAGTTACGAAAGCAGTTGGGTCACTGTGAGATTTCTGAAAATGTGAATGAGGGACCTAAGGCGAGAAAAAGCTGAGCCTTCGTGCTGGCCAAACAGTGCTGTCTTCCTTGGGATCATGCAGAGGGAGGGAAGGGAGACGATGATCTGATCTTCAGACTATTTTTTTGGTTGCCCACTTGCTATTTAATCGCTTCCTGGTTTTCTATCAACAGATCAAGGTAGTGAAATTCTCCTACATGTGGACCATCAATAACTTTAGCTTTTGCCGGGAGGAAATGGGTGAAGTCATTAAAAGTTCAACCTTTTCATCAGGAGCCAATGATAAACTGAAATGGTGAGGAAGAATATATCTAGCTGTAAAAATTTTTCTAAAAGTTGACTGTTTTGCTTGGTTTTATGGGAGACTGACTGGAATGTAAGATCCCTGGAGGCAGGGACTTTGTTTTATTCTTAATATATTCCCCAGTACCTAGAACTGCCTGACACATAGAGGTGCTCACTCTATATTTATTGTGTTAATTTAATAAGTATATCAGGGATCCATAATTTCAGTTGTCTGGAGGGTAATGTAAATGAGTAAAGAGGGCCAGTGTTATATAAATGATATCCATATCTGGTGTCAATGTTGACTACTTGGCAAATTAGTGAGTGTCCTTCTAAAAGGGGTGGTGGCTCCTCAGCTCCAGCTGACTATAACGTGTGTGAATAAAGGCCTGACCATTCCCAGATTTTCTAATTGTTCAAAATCGCAAGAAATCTAGATTATAACATACAATCTCTTAACTTTTGAATTGCATTTTTAAAAAACAATAAAGGAGATTTATTTGCTTACATAGCTAGAATGCTCAGGCTATAGGATGGTATTGCAGCTTAGTTTGATCCAGCAGACTGGTGGATAGATTAAGGACCCCGTCTCTGCTCTGCCCTGCTCTCCACATTGTGGAACATCTCAAGTCTGATTTTCCTTGGGTTAAAGGATGACGGGCACTAGTAATGAGCATAACCCACTACCATCCAACAGAAATTTTTGAACTTCTTCCGAACTAACTGTGTGGCCAAGAATACGTCATACATGTACTGATTGGTTTAGGCCTAGGTTACCTCAATTAATTTCTGTGGCAAGGGGAATACAGTGTGGGAGTGGGGGTCAGTCCCATCCAAACCATATGTCCTCTTGAGGAGGGACAGGCAGTTAAGGATACAACCATGTGCTCACTGCAAAGACCAGAGCACATGTCTGTGAACCACCAGTTTTGACTTCTGATAACCCATTGAAGAGTTATTTAGTATTTGTTGGCTATGTGCATTAAGCAATGTACTACTGGGTCCTGAGAGAATGCTTATTCTTAGGCATTGTATTTAAATCCACATCTTTAGCATGGTGTATAGTGACGTAAGTGGCATATGCACTCCCTAGAGAGGCACTGGATTAGGCCACCTGTTTGAGAGAGGTGCCATAACACTGGCAAGGCCTAAGGATACATATGGTCTATGTATTATATATATGGTAGAAACAGTGTCTGAACCACATGCAGTTCAACTAATGACATTTACAACTTACTCAGTTGAGCCTATTAAATTCTGTCTGAATTTTGTTTTGATTCATTGGTAACAGATTGGCATTTCTGACTATTTAGAAGCCTAGCTTGGAGCTCTACCCTGTGTAATGGGAGTTTGCTTTTATTTGTGCTTCCATACTGCCTCCTTTATTATAATCTTAGAATATTATTACCAGATTGATAAAATACCTGTAAAAGATTAGAGACTATTCACGTATTTTTCTAGAAAACTTTTTCTCTCCCAAGGCGATATTAAAGAGCTCACTGACATTTTTTTTCATGGTTTCACCAGAGTCCCGACAAAATTCGGGGCTGTCTTTCCTGAGATTGAGGATTAGAATAGAAAACGAGGTTGACTTTTAAAATATTTTGTGTGGGGAAGAGTGATTGGGAGATTATGAGAAAAGAGGCAGAGATGTAAGGGATGTGTTTTCGGATTCCAGAATGCCCCTTTTTGTTGTTTGCTTTTTAAAAGGTGATTCAGGTTACTCTAGAAAAGTGGTTCCCAAGTAGTTATTCTACTGAAGCAGAATCTCCTGTTTATGGGGCCTGAATTTGTTTGTTTTTTAAACATCTCCCTCTCTTGATTTTGATGTTCTAGTTTTCGCTTGTCATTTCACGAGCCTATAAACATGGATGTTTTCAACATATACGTTTTTTCCTATATGTTTTGGGCAGGTGTTTGCGAGTAAACCCAAAAGGGCTAGATGAAGAAAGCAAAGATTACCTGTCACTTTACCTGTTACTGGTCAGCTGTCCAAAGAGTGAAGTTCGGGCAAAATTCAAATTCTCCATCTTGAATGCCAAGGGAGAAGAAACCAAAGCTATGGGTAAATGTTCTATTCTTTGTTTGATTCTTTTTCACATCTAGAATCATAATAGGGTTTTTCGAGTAACCCTAAATATGATTCTTTTTTTCACCCCAGAGAGTCAACGGGCATATAGGTTTGTGCAAGGCAAAGACTGGGGATTCAAAAAATTCATCCGCAGAGATTTTCTCTTGGATGAGGCCAACGGGCTTCTCCCTGATGACAAGCTTACCCTCTTCTGTGAGGTGAGTCCTTCTACCCCACTCTGAGACTAGCACTTCCCAGGCCTGATCGATATTGGTAGACTTAATTTTATTGAATCAAGGATGGAAACAGAAAAATCCCCAAGTGGAGTAGTGCTGCACAAAAGTTACTTATGTGAGTGAAATCTGTGCCACGTTGTCAGGGTTCTTGGGCATATCAGCTTTTCACTTGTTACTAGTCTTAAAAACAAAGATTGTGTACTATCTTGGTATGTGTGAATTTTGAGTTGCTTGAGTTCTGACCTTTTTTAATTACGGGTTTTATCAGCATTTGTAAAGACTGTCACTTCAAGCTGAGGAGAATGGACAGCAACTAGATATGTATGTTTGTTTCTTAAACTTTTGACTTCTCTTTGAATATGAGTCTACATATTTTTAAATATAGATCACTTTTCTTTCCTGATCTTTGAACTGGATGACCTACCAGGAATTGAATGTCTCTAGTTTGTTCTTGCTAGAATAATTGTGAAATAGGAAGGTAAGAACGCTTTTTTTCTAGTGAAGGTTATGTAAAGCTCTCTAACTCATAGTTAGCTGAGAGTAATGTGTAGTCAGCTAGGAGAATTCTTCTCTCACCAATGACCCAAGAGCCTTTCTCAGGTTTACAGGAGAAGCCTTAAAGAGAAATTCTCAGGCTGCGAGTGAGTTGTAAAGTGGTTTCGTTAATGAGTATATACTAATAAGTCATTTCATGCTGTTATCAACACATTTATAAATACTCATAAGCTCACAGTATAATAAGTGACTAAAACCGCCAGTCAACCGAGATGTTAGTGTTTTCTATACATTGTATGGTCAAGGAACCACTTTCTGAGCAGCACCACTTGATGAGAATGACTACTGTATTTTCACGGAGAAGGTGCAGGCAAATTCCCTAACTACCAATGTGCTCTGTCAAGTAATAGGCTCACACTGAGTTAACGACTTTTTCAAAGGCCTGTCACCACCTGTGCAGCTGGGAAAGGTGTCCCTGAGGAATGTTGTCCTTTTGTGGAGGAGGCCTGGGCAGCAGTAACTGGTTCCTTTTCCGAGTTACAGCTTATTGAATATTCCCATAGAATGGTTCCTGGTGGTTAGAAAATTTGGGGATATATTTTATTAAAATACCACACTGAATATATAAAATGCAGTTGTGTAATAGCTACCTTCTCTTCTTTTTAATGGCTAAATAAAAGAAGGAACTATTAACCCAATGACATCTATATAAATACATAAATTGTTGCAGTTGTTTTTTGTCTTATGAACTTGAAATTTGAATTCTATATAAATCCAACTAGTTACATACTCAGTTGCTCAGGTGAAGAAATGAAAACAATGAGATGGTTTTATGTGAGGTTAGATGTTATATGAACAGACCATCAATTTAATCTTCACCTATCTTAAAGACTTAAAATTTTAAAATAGTGGAAAATTCTAATTTCTGTTGGAAATGTAACCCAGTCTTTGAACTGTTCTCTGAAGAAAGAGCTGTCTCCTCTAAATACTGCATCTGGTGTTTTAGGCAGTGCCCTAACCTTTATTGCAGCATTTTCCAGTCTACCGTGTGTCCAGCCTTTTCTCATATGCTTCCCCCTTCCCCCAATCTGCTCCAACCCCTGTATTGACTTGGTTTGGAAACCAGTTGTCCTGCCCTCATTTGGCAATCTCTCCTCCTGTGGTTAAGTCCAAGGCGTTCTCTCCCCATTCTCTTCCCCGTATGAAATTCTCTTAGGAGAAATCCTGTGGTTAAGTTTAGATTTGCCTTACTGACTTAGAAGGGAAGTGAGATGACACTTTGGAAATAAGGAGATGTTGAACAGGGAAACGTCTGCTGGGTTCTGCTGATGCCATCGGTTTCTTACCATCGGACCAGGTATGCCATCTGTTCATCTCACACTTCTCTGTTGGCCACAGGTGCTGAGTGTTGCTTCTCGTACTTGGGCTTGTGCCTAGTGAGACTCATTTCTGTTCCAAGGCTCTCTGTGGACTTAGTAGCATTCAGCATTGCAAGACAGTTGTGTGGGGGTGTGTGTTGGATATGTGGGTTTTAAAAATGTCTGCAGCTCCATCTAAGTTCTTAGCGCTTTACAAAGCTAAATCATTCTTTGATGCACATTCTATACCTTTGACCTGTTGCTCCCTTTTATCAATGGAATGTTTATAAACAAGTTTATTCTAGTTCATATTTATGTTATTTATTACTGGTTTAGTTTTTTATTTTAGAGGCTTTTATGAAACTGACGTCCACATACAAATTGAGATTATGAATACTCTACTCCTCCATTCCTCAGTCAACCTTTGGCCCAGACACTTCTGTCCTATTGTGATGCAATATATATAGTTGTTTCATGAAATTTTGGGGGTGGGGTCACAAGAGGGAATCCTAAGGTGCAAGACTGAGAATCACACATTTGTGTGTTTGAGCTTTATTTTAATGGTATTACTATTAATGAATATGTAAATGAAATTAGATTGCAGATTCTGAAAATGTTGGAAGGGTAGTCTTCTTTGTAATGTGCTGCACTGGGTTCACTTTCAGTTCTCTCTGATGGATGTTTTTATCTATTAGGAAACGTGGCAGTTCTTCCAAGTTGATATTGCTTAGTTAACGTATTTGCAAAGCATTCCTTGCATTGTCTATCACAGTCCTTTGAGCTAGCTCAGTTCTGTTATCTTTATTTCATGTTACTGGGTAGAGAAGCAGTGCCTAGGGAGGTCAGGTAATTTTTTCCTAACATCGTGCAGCAAATTAGTGTCAGGGCCATGTCAGCTCTCCATTTTCCATCTCTAGTGTGCTGTGCCACTCTTAAGTGGAGCTGAATGCCATTCACCCAGGGAAACAAGGGCTCTACCAGGTTCTTAGCAGAGAGTATTTATTTAGGTAATGAAAAAGAGAATCATTAAATCTTAATACTTTTAATTTTCTGTTAATAATTTGGACCACAGAAAATATACATGAAATGTTTCAGCTTCTGTTGACCCTTCTTTACATTTATTTATATTGAAAACAAGTAGCTGTTAGCAATAAAGGTGCATATATTCCACGTTTATTGTTTATACCTTTGACAGATATAAGATTCCAGTACTTTGTAATGCTGCAATTAAAGTTGAAATATGAAATATAGGAAATATGAAATATCTAGACACTAGTTAACTCTTAAAACATTTCTTTCCTTCTCAGACATGGACTGTTCCTACATAGCCTCTGAATGTGATTTTTGCCAAATTTTAAATATGTAGGTCTGTTCATTTTTCCTTTTTTTATCTAAAATTTTATTAATGGATTATTTGGATATATTAGTTGAACTATACGAAAATGCTAGTCTTTGATTCTTGACCTACAAAAATGGTGATTTAATATGTAACATTATTACAGGTTATAAAACATGATAATATAGTAGAAACCTACAACCCAACCCAACAATATCACCAGTAACTGGGAACTAACCTGCATATGTTTCTCCCATATCCCTTAGACCTATTGTCTCTCCATGCAGAAGATGATATCATAAACAGCTATTTTGAATTGTATCGTATCACTCCCTTGTTTATTTGTATGCCTGAACAATATATTGTTTAGATTTGGTTGGTTTTGAGCTTTATAAAAATGCTGTCAGAACGAATGTAGTCATCTAAGGACTTGCTCTTTTCACATTATGTTTCTAAAATTTATTTATACTGTGGATGTAACTATAGTTCATTTGTTTTTAGTGCTGTAAAATAGCCCATTATATGAATATACAACAGTTTATTCATTCTTTTATTGATGGTCATTTAGATTGTTGCTAGTCTTTTGATTAGAAATAGTGCTGCTGCTATAAACAATCCATATACAAAGTCTGTTCTTTTTTTCAATTGTTTTAATTATATGGAAGTTAAATATATTTCCATTAGTTTCGACTTTTTACATTTAGATAAAATGTACAATTGGCACAATCTTTAGCCTTTTATGAAATTTTCTTTTTTAAGAAAAGGAATTGACTTTAAAAGTGAGACCCTTTTACAACTTGAAATTTAGAGGGTTATACAGCCTTCCTGAGACATTTTTATGCAGTCATTCGTAAGACAGATGACATAAATGTCACAGTCACGTCATCTTCACAGCTGTATTTCTGAATGAGTCTCCATAGTCAACTTTATAGGCATTAAAAAAAAAATCTTTAGTTTTTCTCAAAATGGTTTCATTTTAGCATCATCATTTGCAGAGGAAAACAATCTCTTTCTAAGTTAAAAGTTTGGGCTCTAAAGACTCATTTGTGAATGCCATTTAAAATTTATTTTTAATTAAGCGTATTTAATGTTGATAAGAGGTGCCAGACATTCAGAGCTCTGGAGACTCCAGGCATCCATATATCTACAGAACAAGTCTGGCTCAGACAGTGAAGGTACATTCTCCTTCCTGCTGTGTTCCTGTCTGTGTCTAGAGAGAGGAATTGTCCCAATGAGAGGAGTCATAGTCTTTGGGCCTCACTAATTACTAGGCATGCATCTAACCAACAGAGGGTCCACTGGTAACCATAGTTTGCAGTTCACCTTATCTCTTGCCAATTCATTTTACCCAGTCTAGTAAATTGCCATCAAGCGTTAATGACTTTGAGCTCCTGTCAGCCTGGTTTAATTCAAGCTTAGGAACTCAGTGCCAAAAACATTCTCCATTCTCTTCATTGGCCAGCTTAAGAGATCCCTGCCTTTCTGTATGTATGAGTAAGTTGGGTTTAATTGGTCTTTTTCTCTTTTTTTTTAATTCAGTCAGAAGTATTTTGAAGCTATAACTGGAAACAGGCAACTTCTACTTTGGGTATTAATATTATATCAAAGAAGTAAGGGTGTTAATATGGGAAAATAGCAGAACCAAATTAGAGCTCTTAAATGGGACAAGAGAGAATCTTTTTTTTTTTTTTTTTTGTGCTGGGTTTGTGCTGGGTCTTGGGCTATTAACATAATGTTATAATCTGGCTCTGATAATGTGCTACTAATGCTAAGCACATTCATAATTGATTAACTTGGCTGTTTTATTGCTCAAGACTATTGCTCATTTTAAACAAATGAATAAATTTCTTGACCTGATAGTACATATCTCTTTCTCCTGCACAGAAGGGACTAAGGGTTATTCGGATGGGGCATTAACTTTGCCTCAGGGTTTATGACTGCATTTAAGGGGTGACTTGCATCTTTGAAGGTTAAAGGAAATTTGGGTCATTTAGGATGTTCCTCAGCTGTCTTTCTCAACTTACAGGAATAGCAAGTGTGGAGAGCTGATACTCAAGATTTATGAATTCTGCTTTGATTTTAACATTTTTAACCTAATATGATATAGGAGATGAAGCATAGTAATGGTTGTTAGGCAGAAGACTGATCTGCTGGGTCTTATCTTCAGTTTGGTATCTTAAATTTATTTTATAATGTTATATAATTTATAAATCTTTGTATTGGTATCCTAACAAATTTATCTGACTTTCACTGACCTTTCTAGAAGTTACCTTGGTTTTTATCTAGGGGGAACTGTTAGTTCAGCTGAACATGCTACTGCTGAAGCCGTAGTGGCAAATTGGATCCCTCTTTAAACCTGTTGCCATCATTCTGTTCCAAAGCTATACATGTGTGGCTAGCTGGAGCCAGCCATCTTGTTTGTCATTGTCACAAATGACTGAGAGTATAAATGGTGTGGGATACCCACCTAGTTAGCACTACCAGAAAGATTTTCCAAGCCCAGTCCTGTTCATTAAACTAACATTTGTGAGGAAGTGCCAATTATTTACCAGGTCCTATGGAAGCTGCATTTTATTTTCATGTTCTAGGCCTAACTAAAATAAGTGAAGTGCTTTGTGTTTACTAGATTTTTCTCTTTAAAGAGTTTAATTTAAATGGTAGTTTCTATAGGAGTTCTTTGTATTTAACCTTTGCTTAATAAGGCGGAATAAGGTAAAGACTTGAGGTTTAACATTTGTTTCTGTCAGTTTTTTTCCTTCTGGTGGCTTTGCCCAGGTTTTAGGTCAGGGAAAGTGGAGCTTATTAGAAGTTGGAGAAGATTTTTGGGGTTCTCTCATCCTGAGATGGTGTAGAGTAAGTATGATTGTGATAGATTGGAAATTACTTGATCCAGAGGATAAAGCCTTGATCTGTTTCAGTGGTTTCAAGAGAATATTACTAACATTTGTATCTGAATGTACTATGGCAGTGAGATAAAAGTCATCTATATATCTTCCTGCTGGGAAGAAAATTCCTGGTAACAAAAGCTTTGGACTGTGTTTCCTTGTCTTTCACAGGTGAGTGTGGTACAAGATTCTGTCAACATTTCTGGCCAGAATACCATGAATATGGTGAAGGTTCCTGAGTGCCGGTTGGCCGATGAGTTAGGAGGACTGTGGGAGAATTCCCGGTTCACAGACTGTTGTTTGTGTGTTGCCGGCCAAGAATTCCAGGCTCACAAAGCTATTTTAGCAGGTTGGTATTTATTCGTGGGGAACATTAGTTTTGGGGAAACAAGGAAGAACAGTGACTGCATAATCACCTTTTGAATAACTTCAACTTTTTGAACTAGTGCAAAAAAATTGCAAGTAAATATATTTTTATATTATGACATTGATTTCCATAACCAAAAAGGCCACTCTGTATAAAAATGGTATTTCTGTTTTTCCTCTCCATTTTCAAGGAATGGATGATGATATGTATTGAATGCCTTTGTACTTAGAGAGTAGATATCAAAACACTGGTTAAGAGCAGGTATTACTCCTAGACAGCAACTTAGAATGTAACAGAGGATTCTGGACTCAGGACTAAACCACCATCTAGCTAAGTCCCTAGCCCTGGAGGTCTTAGCCCTCTCTTGAAGAATGAGAACGTTACCAGTGACACGGAGGATCAGGTCTTGTTCTAATAATAGGCCCGTTTTTAAGACGAGAAAGACTAGCACAGAGGAGGAGCTAATAAAGCAGAATTGACTTACACGAAAGCATAGCAGTCAGCCACAAACTTCTATTCAGGCCATAAGACATAAGAGGAAATTGCATGAACCTTCAGGCAACAAATTTCTTACCAAGACCCTCAGCTCTGTTATTCTAAAACACACCTGGCAGAATCTGAGTCTGGCTCAGTCAAACGCATCTTCCTGCTCCCTTTTTCAACTAGATGTGACTGTGTATTGCTAAAGGAAATTATTAACTTAGTGTCTCCATACTCAGCTAGGAGCTCCATGAACTCTTTCTACAATTAGCTCCCTTTCATTTTCTCAACAATAGGTACTTCAGACCTTTAGCACTCTCTTTTATTCTACTCCTGGAAGATGACCTTGCTACTTCTTCCAAGAGAAAGAGAAAATTGAGGCTCTTCTCCCTCAGCTCTTGCCTCTCACCTTACCTGCATTTCCCCTGCATTCTCAGTGGAGGGGTTATTCTTCCTTGTGTCCAAAGCAGACTGTGCATTCTCCTTCTGATCTGTTTCATATCTCATACTGCCTTCTCAGAAGTGTTACATCCTTATCTGGTATCTTCACCATCTCTCTATCTCCTTTACGCTCTACCTGTAAACAGGCTCAAGCTTCTTCCCTCTAGTTTTTTTCTCCTTTTTTTTTTTTTCAGAGCCGAGTTGCTTAACATAGCACATTCACTATCTCTACTTCTTTCCTCCCACTTATCCTCATTTCACCTCCATGTAGTGAAAGCAGTTTTCTAAAGTTATATGACCTGCTAGTTCCTAAATTTGAGGGACTCTTTAGTTCATCATATATTACTTATCTCCTTTCTCCTGGTTTTCTCTTAGTTCACTGACTACCTCTGATGTGTGGCCACCCTCTTCTTTACCCGTCCCTTTAACCATTGCTGTTCCCTAAGGTTCTGCTCAATTCAATTCTTGTTTCGCTCTACATATTCTCCCTGGGTGATTTTATTTATTCTCATAGCATAGCATCAGCCTCTGTCTATCCACTGAAGACCCTTTAAGCATATCACTGCTTTGAAACCTTCCATCTTTATTGAAAGCACCAGCCCTTTAGTCTTCAAGTTCTGTAATGTATTTATTTATTTAGTAGCTTTTAGTCTACAGCCCTTCTGAGATAAGAACAATGAGAATTAATATTTTTGGCATAGATTAAAGGGTTGAAGCTTAGAGGGTTAAGTGATTTCCCCAAGATTATGTGGTTAGAAAAGGGTGGATCTAAAATTAGTCCTTTCTGACATAAACAGGTCAAAGTTCAGGTTACGTGTTTGCTCACTCAGAGTCCTGCTGTATATTCCATCTGTTCTTCCTCTCTTAAGTAGAGGTTGGTAGTCTCAGCTTTGACCAGAATCTGGATTCATTGGACAACATGATAAAATTTGAGTTTATTACTTTCATGGTTGAAATTAAGTTTATTCATCATTTACTTATTATATATAGTGTTCATTAGACTAGAATGGCTTAGAATACTGTCTCTCAACCTTTTTCATTATCCCCACCCCTAAGGAAAAAAATTATTTCCAATGAGAGACATTAAATACTAAAGGATAATATTTTCTCAGGTGGGGTTGAGCTTTGAAAGTCACAGATGATTGTAGTATCTAAGATTTTTTTTTTACTCTTTGGAGCATTATCATCTCTGTTGAGAATGCATGGCTTGGAGGAACAGACAACCTGTCATAAACAAACATGCACTTCATCTAGTTAGTGGATGCCATTGTGCCCTGTTCTTGACCTCCTTGCCGTGTGGTCCCTGGAAGTGGAGAAAGTAGGTATCATTGTTCCAGGCAAAAATCTAGGTATTAGAACATCCTGCTTAGACCTTGAAGGACCTTCCATTTGAACTCCCTGATCTACCCAGAGGATATCATTGTCATCTAACATAGGTAATTTGGGTAATTTTCTTGAAATGTAAATTGTTGGAATGGAGCCCATAAGTTATTTTAAAAGCGATTTCTTTTTTTCCTGTTTTTTCCCCTCTATTTATTATAATTATTCACTTATTGGTATAAGAAGAAAAGAATTTTATAATTCTGCTGTAATTTGAGGCTAAGATTTTCCTGTACCAATGGGACAGAAAAGAAAATGATCTCTTCTTCATAATGTGATAACCACATCTGTCTCTGTTTCCCTTTCACTTTATAGCTCGTTCTCCAGTTTTTAGTGCCATGTTTGAACATGAAATGGAAGAGAGCAAAAAGGTATGTGACAGGATGAAGATGCATCTTTTTGGCTAGGTGACTAGATTTAGATGATTCTTCCACTTTGACAGCAGATTTATTTTCATAATTATTTTTTCTTATTGTATTATAAAAATGGAGTACAAATTCCCTGAACAGACAGACACTTTCTGAGAGCAGAGAGGTGGTCCAGAAGGATTCTAGGTGAAGCAGACTCACTCTATCCCAGGCAGAGTGTCCAAACGGTCTTGGGTGAGGATATTAGATATGTGTTTCTACTCAAGAAAAGAAAAGTGAAAAGTGAAAGATATAGTTATCTTGCTATTGTATTTGAGAAAACAAAGGTGGTACATATGATGGGAGAAAAGGCTATTATAATCAAATAGGGCAAAGACAAAATTTTCCATTCATGTTAGGTTTTAAATGATACAAGCTTCTTTCCTCACCAGCACTTAAAATCATGAAAAGTGTTTAAGAATTTTATTCTGTTGGAATGTTTCTCACTTTCGGTTTTTCTGACATAGAATCGGGTTGAAATCAATGATGTAGAGCCTGAAGTTTTTAAGGAAATGATGTGCTTCATTTATACGGGAAAGGCTCCAAACCTCGACAAAATGGCTGATGATTTGCTGGCAGCTGCTGACAAGGTGAGATAAGAATAGAAAAATAATCACAAGACTAGGAGTTTCTGTGACCTCTTGAATTTCATGATGGGGCTAGAAAGCTGCATTATAAGTAAGATGAGCATATCTTAGTTTGGTCGGGACAATCCTGGTTTACACTTGTGTTCCAACACAATTATTGATAGCACCCTTTTTATTTTCAGAAGTATCCTGCTTTGAATGGTAAATTATATGAGGTCACCTTACCTATGGAAAAGAAGGATAAGTTTGCTGTTCACTTCTCTTCTCTTCCGCATCTCAAATTTAACCACAGTGATAGTAGAGACGTAGATAATACTGACATTTGGATTTATAATTTATAATTTGGCTTTATAATTTACAAAATGTTCTCGAATTCATTAACTTTTGTTTAAACTTTGTCAATGAGAGAATAATCTTTTACCCAGTGTTCTGGTTAGCTTTTTAACTTTCCCCTTAATAGTTATTGAAATATACCATATTCAAAGGTATAAGGTAATTAATAGCTCTTTGGGGAAAAAAGAGGTACTACTACAGTAAGTGTATACTTCGATTGTAAGATACATTTTGATTTGAGAAGTGTTAAAGTGTGAAAATAAAAATGTGGATCTTAGAAGCAAGGAAATATGTTGATTACCTAAAACAACAGAGCAGTGATTCCCAAAATAAACGAGAGAAAAAGGTTAACGAAGCAGTGAGTTTAACCAAGTCAAATTGGGATTTTTTCGTCTTGTTATTTTACTGCAGGATTTCTCAGAACCTTTATTATGTTAATGTGCATTGTGAGTTCTCTAAAAGGGAATATGATAGACAGGATTTCTCCAGTTTAGTTAACACTGGAATCCTTTTTTTTTCAAGCATCACCCCAGTGATTAGTGTACCTCAAAACACACTTTGGGAAACTGACTTTCATTGTGTAGATAACAACAGAGAGCTCAGTGACCTGTCCTCAAAGGCCCTGTGGTCTGAGAAAACGTGTGTGTGTGTGTGTGTGTGTTTGCTATTTATCCCATGAAAGCTTTACTTGTTTAGGAGGCAGGGGATTGAGGCAAGTGTGTTAAAAAGGCTTAAACTCAGACAGCAATAGACCCTGTGAGAAAAATGTCTTCTGCTGGAAGTGCCTCCTTTTCCTGCCATGATGCTTCAGCACCCATCTGAGGGCAAAACTGGCTCTGACCTAAGGGTGCGAGAGCCTTCCCAGGACTGACTTATGGGAATAACCTCCTTCTACCTCCCTTTGCCCCCCTGAGGACAGAGGAAAGTGCCTGTGTTTACAGTGGAGGTTTTACCTTTATTGATCAGTTCTTTGGAGTGTTTGTAGAGGATAAGGCATGTAAACCCAATCAATGGTACTGGTGAAAAGGATTGAATAATAGCTCTATCCTTCTTATCACCTTTCAAGACTTTATTAGTACAATTAAACAATGTGAACATACCATGCCCTTCCAGTCTAGCTCAGTTCTGACCAGAGGAAAGTTGCTTTTAGTGGAGATAGTAATAAAATATACACTGTGAGCTCTGGGGAAGTTGAAGGCACAGCCCAGTGCCTGCTTTTTATAAACATGAGTTTGTAATGATTCTGCCTCATCTGCCCACTGATTTTCAGTGAAGCAGTCACTTGTGCTTATACACATCAGACATTTATGCCCCTCATCTTCTAGCTCCCATAAGGATGAGTAGTATTGAAAGACCCACTTTTTAGCAGAAATACTGAGGCTCAGAGTTGTCTATCTCAGGACCGGGTTAGACATCCATGTCCTGGGTTTTCATTTCTGTTCCTCAGCCAGAGAACCTGCTGGGAACCTGAGTGCATGGAGCATGGGGACCAGCCTGAACCGACATTCCAAGAATGGTATTTTCAGTATAATATGTTAACTTATGGTTTTAAAAGATAAAGCAGTTGAATCACAGCAGCGTTTTAAATTTTTGAATGAGAAGTAACTAAAGGATGTGTTTTTAAATTCCATTCAGAATTTCCCATTAAACAGTCTTTGCTCCAGCGTTATTTGAAAACATTTTTACCTTTATACCTCCTTGTGAGCTTCAGGAAAACAGAATAAGAAATCTTTCATGGAAGGATCTAAACATCTAGAATTTACCCAAGAGGCTGAAACAGCTTCTTCTGAGCTTTTCTAGTCTCCTAGGGACATGTGTAATTAGACCAAAACCAAAACAACACGTTGGCCAGGCCTGGAAGACACAATTTCATTCTCCCGGGCAAGTACTGCCATTAGGCAGGTTTTTCAGAAGCATAATTAAGAAAAAAACTTTGTCCCCGAAGGGATAAGAATGGCTACTTTTGTCTAATTATGCAGTAGGGATCAGAGCTATTCACAGTAAAAGTCTTTTTAAAAGAATGTATTGAGAAAAGATGAGAAGAATGCTCTGTGCAGCACTGTATGAAAACCGAACATTTACTCAACCTTTTCCAGCCTTTTAAAACAAAAACCTAATTTCTTGCTTGTCTAGTGTCATTCCTGTTTTCCATGGAAACTGCTTTCCAGTTACTCAAATGTAAAAAATTAAAGCTGCACCAAAAACCAATAAAACCCTTTTTGCTGCCGGAGATCACAGTGCCAGCAGCTATGCCTCCTCACCCAGAATTCATAAAAATAAAATTGTCCTGGTTTGATTGCCATGATTCAGCCTGGAGGAGTATTGTGTCATTGAGTTCTGAGGCCCTCAAGAGGGAGCTGTATGTAGACTCTGGGTACCCTCAAAGCAAACCATTTTCCTGTGAACCGATTAATGATATTTTATTTTATGCCTTTTATCCCTTTCTCCTTCTTATGCCTAAAGTTCCTTCGTAAGTTCACGATCTCATATTTGAGAACAAGGAGTAAGTACAGTTGCATCAAAATAAATCAACTAGATCAAATATTCCCAATATTTACCTAGACCTTTATTTCCAGAACATTTATACCCTTTCCTTAGAAAATAGGAAGTATTTAGACTGAAGCTGGATCCAGGGTCTCTGTTGCTTTGTTCTTCTACCCTGGGAGTCTTAACCTCAACCCCAATAAAATAGGCCTCCATTTATCCTTTTCTGTTTAAAAGGAGGCCTTTGGTTGACTCTCATTCAGGAATAACTAGTGGCAGAGATGCTAGTGAAAGTCACCACAGGGCTCCTTTGCACAGCCTGATGGGCCAGTTAGGATACCCAGCGGGACTAGTGACAATGCTTAAATTGAAAGGACTGTGCTTCATTCACCCTAGTCTGGCTCTAAATAAAAGGATTGCAGAAATTTAAGATGTAATGTCCCCGGTGACTTGAAGCAGAGGAATGCCTTATTGTAAGGGTAGGTGGTGATGATTTAAGAAACACTTTAATCATAGTTAGGGCAGGGTAAACTTGAGGATGTAGATCTATTCCATATTGCCATCTTCCTAATAGGTAGACTTTAGAACTTGAATGGCAGCTACGCAAGTTATTTTAGCTATCTTTATTTCAGCCTTCTGAGTGTGGTTATGTTTTATAATTGCAGTAGTAACCTTCTCATGGTCTGTGCAGTTTTGTTCTGGTATCCAGTTACATGATGGTACAGCTGCAGGAAACAGCTTCAGTGCAGTCAGCCCAGAGCTATTCCTGCTCTGACAGAGTGCTTGTGTTTTACAGTATGCCCTGGAGCGTTTAAAGGTCATGTGCGAGGATGCCCTCTGCAGTAACCTCTCTGTGGAGAACGCAGCAGAAATTCTCATTCTGGCCGACCTCCACAGCGCAGATCAGCTGAAAACTCAGGCAGTGGATTTCATCAACTAGTGAGTTGACATCTTCAAAGTTCTTCTTTCTGGGTGGTTGGGATAGCTAGAGAAATGAGAAAGACTTTGAATTAGTGAATAAAATAGTCGAGAAGCTTCATTAACCTTTTAGTAGTAAGTATAGAGTTTTCATCTTTCCCTTTAGCTTGACAGTGTGGAAGATGGTTTTGCTTTCATGGGTCTAATTTGATTGCTGAGTGAGGTTTTTTACTTCCTTGTAGCGATCAGAAATGATGAAAATGATAACTTGCTGGCCTGAAAAATATATATTCCTCAAGTGATAACATCTTTACTTCACATTCACTGGCTTAATAAAAAGACATGTAGAATAGAAGTAGATTTTTTATGAGTTAGTAAAATGTATCTAATGATCCGTTGTAGAAGGGAGGAAAGAGAAGGGATCATCGGTAGATGAGGTTGTTAAATACTGTTTTGCGAAAGAAATGCTCATTCCAGTAGATCTGTTCCTTCATTTTAAACGACAAATGACCTGGCCATATTAATTCCTGAAATAATTCTCAGTGGGGCATGATGGGGAGCAAATATTGAGAAAAACCCAAGGAAGAGAATCAGGGCTTATAAAGCCCTCACAACAGAAGTTCTAAGGTAAGACGGGTCTAAGAGGTTGCCAGGTAGATGAGTGAACATTATTCAACACCGCAAATGATCCAAAATAGGAAACGAGGTCCTCTAAGTCTGTCTGTAAGATTGTTTCGAAAGAGTTACTGATTGAGGCAAAAGAAGGAGGGAAAAGACCACTAACATTCAGCCTAGTGAGTGCTCACTCTGTACTGGACACTTGCTTGGTGCTCTTTAGATGTTAACCGTTTAATGAAGTGTGGTTATTATCCTCTCCTTTTTGATAATCAGATTGGCACCAGGCTGTGATCTCCTCTGTGGTTACAGGACTAGTAAATGGCAAAGCCAGTTGGAAGCTTAGATCTGTCTCTTTATTAGCATTGGCAGTGAATATAAAGAGCATTGACAATGTGGAAGAGAGTGTGGCTCAGAGTCCTGGTTTCCAGAGTTACAACAGCTGCAACCTGGTCACCTGTATGCACATCATCTAACAAGTGAATTCTCGTGCATATTAAGGGTTCTGTCTGAGTGTTTCTTGCATTGACACCCTTTACAGCAAACTCTCAGAAACTGGGCTATCTAAGAGGCTGTTTAATCCATCCTTCACTCACTCCTTTGGTAACCCATCTCTCTTCATTTCTCCTAGTCATGCTTCAGATGTATTGGAGACCTCTGGGTGGAAGTCAATGGTGGTGTCACATCCCCACTTGGTGGCTGAGGCATACCGCTCTCTGGCTTCAGCACAGTGCCCATTTCTGGGACCCCCACGCAAGCGTCTGAAGCAGTCGTAAGATCCTGCGTGTTGTAAGACTCCATTTATTTTCCAGAAGCAGCAGCCACTGTTGCTGCCACTGACCACCAGGTAGACAGCGCAATCTGTGGAGCTTTTACTCTGCTGTAGGGGGAAAAGACTGCGTCGTGGCCCCAGACTTTTAAAACAGCACTAAATAAACTTGGGGGGAAAGGGGGGAGGGAAGGGCCGGGGACTCGGGGCTGTTCAACCTAATGAAAACCCTGTCACTGCGTCACTGTGTTCCCTTTGGCCTGGTGGAGTTCGATCCTGTGGGGATTCAGTTTAGGCGCTGGCCTTGAGGACACCCCAGCGGTGGTACTTCGGAGATACCTGTCTGCATCTGACTGAGCAGAACAAATCATCAGGTGCCTGGAGCAAAAGGAAAAGGACATGTAGTTTTAAGAGAAGGGGAAAGAAAAGGAAAGAAGAAAGGATTTTTGCAGAATCTCTCAAAAATCAGTGTGTGGATTCTAATAGTATTTATGTTGAGAGAAATTTCAGTCCATCCAACTGTGCTAATACTTGGATATTTGTGAAAACTCGCCACCACCATACAAGTTTCAGAAGCGCTCTCTTGTTGTTAGCACTTATTGTTTGCAAGAACAGAATATATCTTTTTATCCCTTTGTGAAAAATGACAAGTGAAGGCGAAAGGGGAAGGAGGTTATTTGATCTGAAGGATGAGTGTTCTGATGTGGTAGCTTTTGCAAAAAATCTTTATTGGTGTTGAAAACTGAAAAAAAATAATTCGCCCAGAATTCATACTGTCTTGACAAGAACTATGGTTCTCTGTTTTTAGATATTGTGGAAAATGTTTTTTGGCATTTTTCTCATTTAAAAAAAAACAAAACACAAAACAAAAAAGAGAACAAAAAGAAAAGAAAAGGAAATTTTATTATTAATGCTGTGTGAAAAAAATCCCAGCCCCGATTGCTCAGCTGTTCGTACCTGACTTGCCACCTGCATCGGAGCCAGTCCTGTTCCTTCCAATTCGCCCCTTTTCCTACAGGGGAGAACTTCCAAATGTTAATTTTTTTCTTTTTGAAAATATAAATAATGACTATTTTGTACTGTGTGGTATCTCTGGTCTTTTGTTTCACTCACCTGACTTGTCTTTTGGGTCTGAGTTCCCCGAGGGATTTTGGAGGCCTAGTTCTAATCTGCAGCTTGCAGAGATAATGTTTGAAATGTCTACACAGTGGGGATTTACTGCGTCTCCCTAATCTCGAGTTTTCCTTGTGAGCTGCCAGCATCTGCCAGTCTCTTGTCTTTCTTGAGTATCTCACAGTCCACATCCTACTGAGGGATCGGGCCCCGACCTCTCCCAAGGCAAGTAATGGATGTGGGCTTTCTGCAGCCTCATGTTTTAAGACCTACTCTCAATCTCCCTTTTAGTAAAATATAAAAAGATCAGGGGACGTAAGTGTGGAGATTAAATAAAGGTAAATTATTATTGCTGACTGGTTCTGTCACTGACGTGGTATATTTTCAGAGAAGATAATATCTGAATTCTCGGTGAGCTCACAAGACTGGCCTGGGGCTCCTCCTCTGCCCGTCTCAGCGGCATTGGGCAGGGCAGGGGGGCACCGGAAGATGCATTGGCGCCCTGGCCAACGTACGTGTTATTTGACTTTAGGTGGGAACCCAACGTGTTTCCCTTCATTGACTTTAGCCTTTGCAGATATTCTAATTTTCATTTATCTTGCACCACTGGAATGGAGTAGATAAGATCTATTATCAGTAAAATCAAAGACAGGATTCACTTATTAGAAACTACTCCTGCACTTCTCAGTTTCCTCCTCAGTGTCACCTATGTGAGGAAGTGTCCAGTTCTCCGTGTTCTTTCTGGCTGCTATCCCTGTGCCTCCTCGGTCCTCACGTTCCAAATCAGCACACAGCTCCAGGGATCGGCACACACAGACTCTCTTCTGCATTTGCTCAGAAGGTCTGTTTTCAGCAGATCTTCCATACACAGTATCTCATTTGAACTTCCGAACAACTTGATGAGTTTGGTAGGACAAGTGATAAATAGTATCTTCCCATTTTATGGATGAGAGAAGTTGAAACCCAGAGAAGTCAAGTGGCATGCCTAAGATCACACAACCGTTGAGTGATAGTTCTTCTAATGTAGATTGTCAGTAACTGGAGGAAGTACCTTTTCTGAAATGTGTACGTATGACATCTAAGGTGAAGCCTCCTTCCTGTGGGAATAGCAAGAGCAAAGCTCTGGAAAGGTACTCCTACAGGCTTGTTCTCCAGATGTTCCAGGAGAAGAAACCAGGCTTCAGATTTGCTTTCTTCCTCATTCACAGGCTGTAGTTTGGGGGCTGGTGGGTTCAGGGACTAAGTCCTCAGGAGAGTAGCAATCCTGGCACCATGCTTCTGGCAGGATGAAGGTCTCTTCTGGGATTTCCCAATATTTATGGAATTTCCAATGTGGGCTTTACTGTGGTACAAAGCAGTTAGGATTTTGGGCACAGGTGAAGCTACTCGATGCTTCTCGTGCCATTATTTCTGGACATGTTTGTTTTTGTTTAAATGATACAGTTGAAGCCATCTGGTTGTGACAACATCAGAGCCCCAGCATACTGTTCATAAACCTCCCACTGCCACCACCCCCTCCCTTAGCTCCCCCACATCTGAAATTTAATTCAAGTTAACTCCACAATCTGGGGCATGTGCTGTCACTGCAGAGATGTCCGTGCCAGTGGAACAGTTGGAGATTTCAATTCCACAAGGATATAGCTTATTTATCAAAACAATATTTCAGGCAAGTAGTTTCACAGAACCTTTAGAGTTGCTGTTTCAGGTTCAAATAGAGTATCTGGCATCACTCCCCAACTCTCTTCCCTGATTGTCAGCCCCTCTACATCTGACCAACCATGGAGAATTTTTCCCATTCCCTCTGTGGAGGTTAAACCTCTGTTGTTATTGGGCATCTCAAACACCTTTATGGGTTTTAACAATTTAGGTAAGAGATGGCCTCTCTTTTCATTATTTCTGGTAAGTCTGCTGACCTTTTAGATCTTTTAAAAAGAGATTCCTCTTTTTAAAAAAAATTCCAGCCAAGAATATTGAGATCTTTTCTTAGGCCGAAAGGTCTCTGGCTTGATGACTACTCTGCACATTTATTTATGAATCTGGTTTAAACCTATTGTGGATTCTCCATATTGTGTGAACCTGTGTAGATGAAAGGAAACAGCTTGTATGTTTATGAGCAGAACAGCAAACAGAGTTGGGCTGCACTTTGAAACTGACTGTTGCTTTGTTCTGGCTCTTGAATTCCTGTAAAAGAACAACTAAGTTCCCCCAACATGACTGTCTTGGATCCTTCAGTTTATCTTTCTCAAAGACATTCTTGGCTAGAGCCCAACCTTATTTTCCACAATTAATTATCTTTTTAATCAGCCTAGGCCCCGTGTGTTTCCTTTATCTCATGACTTTTCACTGAACTCTGCCCTCCATCATTTAGATTCATTTCTCATGAATCTAAATGATGGAGGGCAGAGTTCAGTGACTAACATTCAGGTGAGTATCATTAGACTGCTCTTTGTGTATGTGTATGCACAAGGTGGATGTGTTTTTCCCCTCTTAATTTCAGAGGTGACTGCCACATTGGCACCTTTGACTCAATAGGTGGACAGCTCACAGAGAAAGCAAGCAAGAAAGCAGATGCAGGACGATCAGTAGTTGGGATAATGAGCCACAAGAACCAGAAGAGTCAACCTCCAGATGAGAGTGGAAACTTGAGTGTTGCTGACTGCCCGGATCTTTATGTCACTAAACCATTAGCAAGATGATTGCTTCTCCTCTGTAAATCCTGTAATGTTGGAGTGGAAAGTGGCATCTGGAATGCTGTTTGGTTCTGATTCCTGCAACTCGAGGAAAAAAGAGTTTTAAACTTGAGGAAATTCAATGCAAGCAACAGAAATGATTAAGAAATTGCGGGGGCGGGGGTGAAGCAGGGTAAAACTCTAGGGGTAAAACATTATGAAGATACAACATGCGTAACTCAAGTATAGGAATGTGACACCAGCCCCGCAATTCACAGATCTCACAGGAGTTTTGAATGTTTGCTGGCTTGTCTTGTGCTGCTCTCATCCATCCCAGTTGTATAGCTTGGGAAGGTTATATATAACTTCCTTAAGGTCACTCAACCTGATTTTGAGCCAAGAAACAACAGAGGGCAACAGAATAGCCTTGGGGCTTAGGCCAAAGGACCAAAGAGCAACAATCCAAAAGTTTGCCTGGCAGTAAAGAGGACACACCTGCTCCTCCTAACACTCAGTTGAAGTGGAGAGAGCTTCAGCCCCCTCAAGACCCTTAAAGCTGAGCTCTTGACAAACTGAAGGGGAAAAAAAGGGACCCTCACATAGTTTGTCTTCCTTTCATGTCTGAGAAAATATGTTCAGAGATGTGAGATGACATGCTCAAGGTCACAGAGATGTAAATTCAGGCCACTGATTCAGCAAACAATGAGCACCTGGAAGGTGCCAAATATTGTGCCAGGCCAGGGTTGAGGTAAAGGGTAGAATTTCTGCTCTAATTGGGTCTAATGGAGGAGGCAGGGGCATGACACCCAAACAAAGCAGCAGAGGTCATGGCATTGAGGACTGAAAAGCTACTGAATTTAGCCATAAGGAGGACACTGGTTACCTTAGAGCAGTTTCTGTCAAGTGGTGGAGGCAGGAGCCAAGACCAATGAGAAGGTAAGCAAACAGATTGAGTGTAAGCTACTCTTTCCAGAAGTTTGGCAGGGAGAGAGGAAGGGAATCTCTCCCACCCACTCTTAAGACTTATGTCTCAATTTAGTCAACACATTTATTTTTGTCTAGAAGTCATGGTGTACAGGTTGTTCCATAAAATTACAGACACTTTCATAACTGGTATTTATAATAAAAGTCATGTTTGTAGAATAATTATAGCTTTAAATTGAGAAAGAAAACAATCACCTTCAACCCTTACACAATTTTGAGCATGAATTCCTAAAGACAGACATGTTTCTACACTTTTTCAACCTATCCATCTTCTAGGTTAAGAGTGCTTCATGCTTACTATAAACCTTTAAAGTATTTTTTGCATGAGCCCGTGGCTTGGTTCAGTGGTGTGCTACTCAAGGTATAACATTCAGTTCTTTAACAGCCCCGATTGGTAGCATTTGCCAGTTCCCATGGTGTGAATACTCCCACCATGGCCCATTTCAAACTCCCAAGGTGACATTACTGACTGCAGAGCTGGAAAGGGATGCTCAGCTCACCATTATCTAGTATCTCTCTACCATACAGATAAGTAGACGTAAGTAATAGTAAAATGTAAAATAATTAGGAAGAGATGAATTTTGAGGATTACCTTTGCTGTTAACTGTATGTTAACACAATTT